CAATTACTTTGGCCCCCCTCACCACCACCACCACCAAGAAGATAAAGCAATCGTTTTTCTTATTGAAATTCCAAGTTGCTGATCGAGTCAGAGAAGCAAAACCTCTTCATTCGTGTTTCTAACAACTCTGAAACCCTAATTATCTGGTACAGCTTATTGATTTGGTATGCAAGATTTAAAATACTAATTCTCGCTGATTTCAGTCACAGAAACAAGGAAACCGAATTACAGGAGTCTGTTAAGCTGGACTTTAGAGTAGCGGCAAACAACAATAAAACAACTAAACAATTCGATGTAAAATACAATAAAATAAAGAAAAAAAAAAGGCGAAATGGGGAATTGGAAGGTGATTGCGTACGTTAAGCAGAAGGAGGCGCAGGCTAACGGCATTGTCAAGCGAACCGCCAAAAATGGGACTCCGGACTCCGAACATCAAGACTGGGTTCGCATCTGCCCCCCACAGACTTGCCCCCCAAAAACGTCCCACGAAACCTAGGCGCGACGCGTGTCATGATACACGCGCACTAAGATGACTCGTGCGGTCTCTATTTCACCTTGTTTGTATCACGTCTGTTAATTTTTTCTCGCCTTAAAGGGTTTATTCTCTCATTCTGAGTATTCTTTCTCCTATTCTACTGAATTAAAACCCTTAGCGCCCTCTTTCGCAACCCACCCACCGGAGATAAACTCTTTCGAGTTCCGCCGGCAGACGCCAACGGTTATACAAATGGCGAGAGAAAGAGAGAGTATTAAGAATCGTTGTTGTAAAATCAATAATAATTTGATAATTTTATAGTAGAAACAATTCAATGTAGATTATTTAATAGATACAAAAGAAATTAAAAAAAAAAAATGCAGATGATGAATATGAACAAAATTAATGAACCCAAGTAATTAATTTCTTTTATTTTTTTCCTGGGTCTTACTCTTTATTTTCATAAGTTTGAATTATTAAACCCTCAACTCCATGAATACAAAGTGGTGGTCGCAGGTCGCCACCTTAATCAGCACGCTTTGAGAATGGTCTATGCATGTTCCTGCACTACCTTCCATGTCAAGTTCACATGGCGGTCCTCCGTAAGGCTTGCACCAACAACGAACCTGATCATGTAAACACCCCCAACCACCGCATGTGTCATGTATATGCACCCACCTGAGTTGATCAACTCCAGCAACTTACAGTAACGATTGCCGGAGCGTCTCATCCTCATGATCCTTCACCGGCGGCGGTAGCAGCCAAAAGCATACCATCGCGAAATTCCTCAGCACCACAATCTCAAACCTCTTGTCCATGGTTACCTTCTCTTCGAAGTGCTTAGCCATTTTCACGTGGGTCCAAAGGAAATTTCTTAGGTTGGCCACACCATAGCTCCAAAGCACCATCCAGAGCTTCATGGCTCGGAATCGACGACTGAGGGCTATTTTGCCAGTCTTTGTAGTCTATCACTTGCTTTGATTCAGTAGCTTTGTTCCTCAAATACTCAAGACTGGTTGACAGGGCCTTAACAAGAGTGCTAGGGTACTTGACCCAAAGGCAGCAGCAATAGAGAGTGGTGAAGAACCACTTATGTGCATTGAAACTGAACGAGTCTACATCCTCTACCCCATCGATGAAGTGTTTGAACTCAGGACATATGCATGCACTTCCGACGTATACTGCGTCGATGTGAACCCAAACTCCATACTCTTTGGCCACTGCGCATAGAGGAGCAATTGGGTCAACGGCTATCGACGATGTAGTACCGACAGTAGCACAGAGGAATAATGGGATGAGCCCAACTTGTATATCTGCTTGGATTGTAGACTAAAGAGACTTGGGGGCCAGCCCGAATGAGGTGGCCTTACTCATTGCAACGGCACGGAAGTGGGTTTGGTCTAATCCATAAACCACCAACTTCCCTATGTTCTCCCTACCAATTCTATTCGACGTCCGATCTCTGGCTGCTGTGAAAGTGCACAAGATGGCTTCATAGGTAGTCCCTTGTAGCACACCACCACCGTTTCCAGAGAAGAGGAAAGACTTGGGGAGCTTAAGCATCTTGCCAAGCCAATCCATGACTATGCACTCCAGCTCTGTGGCCGCCGGCGACGACATCCAATTGAACCCAACGACAGAAAATCCGGTGCTAAGCATTTCGCCGAGAAAACTAGCGACGCTTACTTCCCTCCATTATAGAATACTTACCTTCTCGCCGTTTATATGGCCGGCGGAACTCGAAAGAGTTTATCTTCGGTGGGTGGGTTACGAAAGGGGGCACCAAGGGTTTCAGTTCACAGTAGAATAGGAGTAGAATAGGAGAAGGAATACCTAGAATGAGAGAATAAACCCTTTTGGGCGAGAAGGAATTAACGGACGTGATACAAACGGCGTGAAATAGAGACCGCACGAGTCATCCTAGTGCACGTGTGTCATGACACGTGTNGGGGGGCAGATGCGAACCCATCAAGACTAGCCAAACCTGAGGTCAAATCCGAGTACCCAAGCCCAACGTTAGTCTAGTCTAGGGGTGATCATTTCAGCCCGGCCCAGATATTCTAGGCTTGAGCTGGGTTTTGTGTTCTTGCCCGGCCCGTGTTGAGTTCACATCTCTGCTCCACAACGCCCCACCTCACATCGCCACCGTGTATTGGTAACAACTCCCGATGATGACATCATCGGTTCTAGTACTATCATTGGGAGATGTTTCCAATACACGGTGAAGATGTGGTGTGGGGCGGCTCTATGTGGGGCAGAGATGTGAACTCGCCCGTGCATTAGGCCTACAAATATTTAAAACATATAAACATGTATATGCATATGTGTATATATATATAATTTTATATTATATAATATATTTTATATATGAATATTATAATATGACACGTACAATTTATATTATATATAATATATAAAATAAGTGTTTTTGGTAAACATATATAAAATTAGTTTATATAATATTTTATATATGAAAGACAGCCCCAGCCCAGCCCAGGGCCAAGTAGACTTGGGATCGAGCTTATGTTTCAAGCCTAGAACCCTAGGTTGGGCCTAGGCTATAGCTCTTATTATAAGTGCAAAGCCTGACTTGGTCTATAATCACCCCTAGATTAGTAAGATTGATTAGGTTTAAAAGAATTCATAATTTTATATAGTATTTTTTATTGGACTTCATGGGTCCAATTTAAGTGTGCAATCGATTCAAATTATGCACAAATTTTATTAACAAATGTAATATGCATCTTTTATATATATATACATGTAGGGATGATCATGGGCTAGGCTTTGCATTTGTAATAAGGTTAGGCTTGGGCCTGATTCAAGTTTTGGGCCTAAAACATAAGACTTGGCCCAGGCCTACACGGTCCCATAAATCTTGGGCGGGGTAGGGCCAGGCTGAAAATGATCACCCCTATATACATGTTTATATAATTTGAAAAAATATATTCTTATATAAATATAATGCAGGTAAATATGCATTTGTTGGGGTAGACTTGAATTGGGTTGAGCCCAAGTTCAATTGGGTCAGGCTTTGGCTAACTAACCAAGGCCTCAACTTAAGCACAACCAAAGTTTACATCAAGCACAAGTATTTTGGCCAAAGCCTAGACCACAAGCTGAAACTTAGGCTTTGTTTGGAAACAATGCAAATATGTATAGTGTAAAACGGTCCATATAAATTGCAAAGTTGGGTTAGTTTTGCACTGACAATTTTACCTTCTTACCAAATAGACTTTTAGTTGTAATGGATGCAAACACAAATTCTAATAAAGCATATGCCTTTTTATCAAAAGTCTACTTGAATGCAAATTTACTTCTTTTTTATTAGTGTACTTTTACATCTTATGGTCAATGTAAATATGCATTGGAAAATGTGTTTTTGTCATTTGTCAATGCATAAATGTAATGTTGTCAAACACAAGCAAAAGTGAACCAGAGTGCAAATTTATCCTAAACTGCGATTTACACTCCATTTCATGGTTTCCAAACACAGCCTTAGGGATAACATGTGCAAAAAACTCGGATTGGGTCAAATCCTTACAACCCAAATAGAAAATGTATTATAAAATAACTGTGTTAATTTATAAACAAATTATTGTAAAATAATAGTATAGTTAAGTTAATTAACCAAAATAAGAAAAAATGTTGAACAAGAAAATTAACAAAAGATGTAATGTAAAATATTTCTGTTAATTAATAAAGAATATTGTAAAATAGTTATTGTAGATTAATTCAATTTAATGTTAAGCTTTCAATTTTATGTTAATTTATTTAAATGTACTATTATGTTTTCAATTAATTTTTTCCTTTACATTTATTTATTTATTTTACTAATAATTCATTTAATTAGAGCTAATTTTATAATGAAAGAACAAAGAAAATCAGCCAAACAAACTAGACTGGCTTAGATCGGATCAATAGCTAAATTTAAATTTATTTACTTTTAATTAATTACAGTAGTTAATTAGCATTACTTTTATTGCTAATTTTATTTTTTTCCCTACCTCAAGGTATCTCTATAGTATGAGGTTGGTCTAGGCCTTAAGTAGTTAGAAGCAACTAAAATTGGCCCCAATTATGTTTGGGAGACATATCAAAATAGTGACTGGTTACAATTAGTGCATCTTACTCAGTCCTCATAGTTGATTTAATTTGGTTTACTTTTATAAGGTTCACTAGCCACATCGACAACTCTACCATTGGAACCAATTGCTTCAACCTTTCTTGTTAAAGTCTATCATTGGCTGCCAGATGCTTGACAATACTATCATTGCTTATGAGATGTTTCATTTCCTTAAACATCAGCATAGAGGGACAGGCCATGTGGCTATTAAACTTGACATGTCTAAATCTTATGATAGACTTGAATGACCTTTTAAGTCTTGCAAGTCTTAGGTTTTCTTAAGTTCTATGTCAACTTATCAAAAAGTGTATTTTGTCTATCTCTTTTGTTCTCTATCCTCAGACAAGGAGACCCCCTGTCCCCCTATCTCTTTATCCTAGCCATGAAAAGGCTCTCAAGAATGCTTTATTAGTTTAAAGAAGAATGGGGGTATAAAAGGAATCCAAGTTGCACCAAGAGCTCCCTTTATTTCCTATCTCTCTTTTGCGGATGCTATTCTTCTCTTTCTAAGAGCTCATCATGAAGATCTGGATATCTTGCAGCAATTCCAATCTACCTCAGGGTCAATTAATAAATTTTGATAAGTCTGAAATTTATTTTAGCAAAAGCATTCATCCCAGGCACCAAATAATGATCCGAAGGCAACTTCATATCAAACTTCTCCACCCCCATTCCAAATATTTAGGGATTTCTCTTCTTTGGTAAAGAAACAAAAACTCACAGCTTTCCTATGTACTAAACAACATTAAAACAAAACTAAATACATGAAAAGCTTCATCTTTGAGTCGAGCAAGAAAATATATCCTTATCCAATCAGTGCTCCA